ACGCCACGTATTGCGCGACGTGTGTTCACATCAGCCACTAAGAGCTGGTTCTGGTCTAGTTTTGCATACACCAAATTGCGCGCGCGCGCGCGCGCACGCACGCACGCACGCACGCACGCACGCACGCACGCACGTCACGCACACACACACACACACACACACACACACACACACACACACACACACACACACACACACACACACACACACACACACACACACACACACACACACACACACACACACACACACACACAGAGCTTAAGGGCATGTTTTTGAGTCCTTGGTTTCAGTAGAAAATTCCAGGTATACTGAGCCTCTTCAAAGCATAATTGGGACAAATATTATTCAATGTTGGGGCTAAGTTCTTACAACAGACCTACTCAGACTATACCTATGTTGAAACACTAAAAGGCTGAGGGGTGCGGTGGAAATGGGTTACGCAGAAGTTGTCGTCACATGTGGGCAGGTCTGTCGTGAGCACGTTGCTGTCCAGCTATTAAAGGATATAGTGGTTTAGACAGACGGGCTTATCGTATATATGGACTCTGCTGTTGAAGGAATGACGCTGCTCAGCAACATGTCACATTGCATCTAGGTGCACCAAGGGCCCGTGGCACATAGCGAGGAAGGAAACACACACTCCAAGGACCGAATGGGTCGTAGCATAAATGTCTGCGTGCAGGCAGAAATAATATTTCTTTTTTTTCAGCAATGAAACTGCAAGATGCTTCTTTGAGTTCCTCTATCTGTCATTGCCTCAGGGCGCAAAGATGTGAGGCTCCAGCTTTTCGGTTTTCCTCACCCATAATCATTGCACATATTAGTTGTGGGTCACTCCTGCAGATATATTTAGAGTCTCCCTTTCATGCAATCCACAGAACCGGGCACAGCTCCTCTGAGTCAGACAAGACAGAAAAGCAAGACACAGCAGAGAGAAGAGGGACGGGGAATGATAGTGAGCGACTTGGACAGGATGACACAAAAAGGGCCTACGACAAAGAAGAGTGAATGAACCTGGCGCTTGATGGAGGGTTAAATGGAGGTGCAGAAAGCAAAGAGTGAGAAAGGGGGAAAGCTGAGGAATCCCAATTGAATTACTTGACGTATTGCCTACATTAACCAAAGTCCTCTTGGGAAGTAGAATTAGCTCGTGCATGATGAACTTCAGGGAACAGACGTTCTTTATGATGACTCACACTCAGGTATCACACTAAGTCCCTTCAGTGGTACGCTCCTTCATATTGATAAAAGAGAAATGTGTAACAAACACTAGCAGTATCTAGTGATGGTGAAAAACATGCTATTTCTTTGTCTACCGTTGGGGCGGGCTAACTTTCGTATAAGCCAAACCAACGTATGGCAGGTCAAGGTCACAGTGTGACAGAGTACTAAAACATCAGCGGCGTAGTGGCTTTACAGAGAGCCGGAGACAAAGACGTATCGCTCATTCCAGTGTGACATCTTTGGTCAGCTTATTTTCTGTTGTCAGCGTAGCATTTAAGCACTAACTAGCGACCAGCCGGCTAATTAGGTAACTCACTAAATCTGCCTTGCATTTAATGCTACACTGGTCAGAGGAAATGAGCCGAACAGAAGGGGGTGGTGGACAGGAGGTGTCTCTCTTCTCGGGCGAGCTGTGGCGACACTGCGGCGGCCTCGTGGCTGTGTGCTGTCGTCATGCCAACCGGCAACCATTGCCATCTTTCTTAGTCTACTGAACACAGAAAACCGTTCGATGTTTTCAATGGACAAGACAATGCAGCTTTTCAAACCAGGGACAAATCCAGTGTTATACATTAGGATCCATCCACACCAGGGACCGGCATACTAGCAGGGACCAACTCCCGTTGACGGATTCCCCAGTTACAGAAAGGCGAAGTGACTAGCAATCTTTTGGGCTAGATTATTGCTTAGCATTTATTTTTGGTCATGTCAGCAAGTGTTCAGCATAAGTGAGAGAGAATGGTTATTGTGCTAGTTTCACAAGTGCACAACTAAAGGGGAAAGGCTAATTTACAGAAGAAACACTTTGAGGCAGCCAAATCTTTAAGTGTGAAGTCAGAGCAGCAAAAAATAGATTGCAGAGAGACGAGACTTGTTCTATACTTGTAACGTCATGCAGACCAGAAGATGCTTTTGTGAAAGTGTTTTTGTAGACTGGTTAGTTTAAGTCTTCCACTAAGCTTCAGGAGTTACAACTTGAACTTCCACCCAAATCCTGTTCTGTAGAACCGTGAAACCTATTTTGGCTGTGCGGGATGCAAGTGTTAGGATTAAAGTCAAATTGGCTACCTGATACTAAAGTGCCATTTCCAGCTTCCCAAAAAAACTGTATAACGTTTTTCCCCACAAAGCAGTTTTAAAAACGGCTTTTCTCAGCCGTGACACAAGAATCAGTCAGAGAACGTAAACTGAATGTCTCGGGCCGCATAATCATTTTATTTATTTTCACGCATCTTGGCACTATTTGACACAGTCAACATTTATGGTCCGTTAGATCAATACAGGGGCAGTACTTTCCCATACTCTACTGTATTGTTTTAAGTAGCTGACTACCCGTCCCTTTTAGCACGTGTAGATGTTTATCTATTGTGCACCAGAGTGGATGCTTTTGACTGACAGGTCACAGTGGTCAGGGTGACATTTTCCAGAAGATATGCATGTGTTTGCATGTTGTCTCTGCAGGCATGGGTTGCATTCTCAGGCCTCCCCCTATAGTCATGCCTTTCCAGTATCCTATTATTAAGTTTAGTTTACTCAGTCAACTAACAGACATCAGCAATTTCAAACGTCCGCTTCTGCACTCCGTGGCAGTAACTCAGAGGCCCAATCAGTTGACCTGGCATGAAATTCCATTTTATGTTTCCGATGGTATGTGAAACATAATGCCTTTTCAAGTGTTGAGAAAAACAGAAGGGGAGGTAGCTTAAGGCGTGAGAAGGAAATGTGCTGCCGGCGGTCCTGCTCGGTTATGCAATCCAGGGGAACAGTTTGAACATGTAGATTCTACAAACTTGTAAAAGGTTTTTCGTGTTGAAAGTCAGCGACCCATCGGCTTACAGACACCTAAATAAGACCAGAGTTTACGATGTGAGCCTCAATTACTCATTCTACTGGGCCTCCGTGGTCAAACACATGATTTAAATGATGCCAATCCATTTACATTAGCATTAAGAGATTCATTATTGAATTAAAAAAAGGCAGTCTTCGACTCTTACATGGAGGGCTTTTTCCTGCCGGACATTCTGGATGATATTGCTTATACCATATATCTAACAATGCATCAAAGTGGTAATACTTTTTCAATGTGACTTTAGTCATCCGGTGATGCCAGGACACTGGATACTCCAATATCGGCTCATGCATGCAATGGAATCATCAGCTGGACCACAAATTACTTGCATTGCGTTCTAATCTCTGAGAGGTGTGGTCGGCATGAGGAAGACCAGAATTAATGGGGAACTTTGTGGAGTAATTATAGGAAATTGGATGCGATTGTTCTGTTTTACAGCCGCTTCTTCAACACCAAAACAGATTTAGTCACTATCCGATCAGGCATGTCGAATTGCGAAGAATGTGGAGACATGTGTGAGCTCACAGGTGAGTCCTGACCTGAGGAATTATTCCATTGAAAAGTCAACTGCGATCAAGGCCAATACTCATCCTTCTCAAGCCTTTCAAGTGTTTTTTAGATGAATCCCTGGCGCTGCGTGTAGGTAAAACCTTGAGTACCTTACATAGATTGCAACCCGAGGATTAACATCAAAGCCAGGTGACTGTGATCCAGAAGCTATCCAAAAGTTTCAGATTTCTAGCTGTCTTGGCACATTAAACTACTACACGGACACCAAGCCAAAAATCAAATCACACATTCTACACAGCAGGAAATAACAAACACAGCTAAAAAAGAGGCAGAATCATCTGAGCAGAAAGTGCTGGTGCATACGCCAAAAAACGGCACCACAATTGACTTCGTCAAAGGGAACGGTCTCCAACATCATGTCAAACTGCATCAACAAAGAAACAAAAGGTCACTAGAAGCACATCGGGCAATTCAGGAAGAATGGCAGACAAAGGATTAAGTATACTGAATGGTGAAGCAGGACAGATTGGTAAATTGGGCAAACAGAAGAAGATATCAATACACAGTAAGACCCTCAGATGTGTCACCTTTTACACCATTACCTTTCTCGTGGCAGTAATGTTTTAGAGACATACATACATATAGTAAATATACAAATGATCCCTCTTCTCTTTTTCTACATTTTTGTAAGCAGTTCTCCTCAGACTAATCACCAGATGAAGTTCTGGAAACAACCTGGCTTTATTGTTTTAATCATATTCGGGGCAAACTGCGTAAAGGATGAAGGAGAGGCTATACATTAATGCGATTGGCCGAACTACAGATTGTATACCTCTGTTGTCTGTCTGCATCCCCACGTGTGATATAATATAGTTGTCAAATATTGGGTAAAAAGGTGTAGTATTAAGGATTTAGTGTGTCCTCTGATGGATCTCTCTCCCTCTGACAGTTCTGACCCAGTGCACATATTCCGTAAAGGAAGAGAGAGAGCGCCCAGATAAGCTGTCTCGCAGGGGAAGATCTGCTCTCATGACACCGAGCAGCTTATCCTTCATGAGCACAACAGGAAACCAAAGAAGACTTTGACGCGCGTGCACACACCCGCACGCACCCGCACGCGTGCACATTTTGAGAGCAAAAATTGCACACATATCGAAATCGTGCAAAAACGAATGCCATGTAACATCAACTGTGCTAAACATAAAACAGATTTGACGTACGAGCGCAGGAGCCAGGCCTCATTTACATTAACAGCAACGTGAACGTTACGGCCGGACAGCTGTCATCTCACATCGCCCGCAACGACAGAACGGACGGACAGCGAGGTCGACTGTGGCACATCCCCCCCCCAAAAAGGTCGAGAGGGACACATAACTGTGGACCACACGGGGTACGTTTGGCCGGTCTGACTCACCGAATGGTTGACTCCCCACATGAGCACGCTGAGCAGCGGGTCGCTGGCGCGGAAGAGCTTCACCTTCTGAGCAACGAAGTGCTTCTTCTTGGTCTTCGTTTTGCTCGCAATAGCTGCGGCGAGGCTGCTCGCCGAAGCCATCTTTGGGCGAACTGGTTGTTGCTGTCGGGCGGTCCGTGCGATAATCCCGACCGCGTCCCCCCCCGCTGAAGCTGGCACAGTGGCCACTAGCTCACCACTCCGTGACACCAATGCTATTCATTCAGCCTGCTCGCAAATCAAAAGTGCCCGAATTATTATTATTATTTTCTTCTTCCTCCAACGTCCCGGACGGTTTGCGCTGACTTTAAGTGGCTCTGCCTCGACGGGGGAACCAGACTACGGACGTGTTCGCGCTAATACTGCTGCTCCCCTTCGCCTGACACTCCGCCGCTTCCCTCAGTCCACATCACAAGTCGCCTCTCTTCCTTCCTCGACTCGGGTCTTGAGCGCTCCGCTGCGTTGTGATGCAAGGTCTCACCGAGCCTGCGTTAGCATAGCCGAATAGCGGTCTAGCTAGCGAGCGAACGGTAAAATGGGTTAGAATGATGACACGTATGGGACGAGAGCAACGTGCTCGGCTCGGCTCAGGGCACGCAAGTTATCATGCGGTGTTAAAATAAATTGTTAAAAAAAGAGACATTCGTGATGCCGACTGGCTAGCTCAACGTCCCCTGACAACCGGCTAACGTTAGTCCCCCTCGACCTTCGTTAGCGAGTCGGCTACGTGACGTTAGCCAAACGGACGGAGCGGAGCCGGGGTCTCCCGTCGCCAACTAGCAAACCGTTAGCCCGCGAGCTAACAGCGGACAGCAGTCAGTGCGCCGGACTAGCGAGGCTGCTCAGCCGTCCTACGCGCCCTGCGGTCGGTCCGCGCGGGTGACAGAGGAGGGACCCGTCATGTTCTCGCCCCGCCTGTATAGAAACGCCGAGGAGCGGTTATCCGCACGTAGATCGACGAGTGACCCGACTCCGCTCGCGGCGACGAGGTTCATGTGTTCTGCTGTGGACTGACAGCTCGACGGGGGGGGGGGGGGGCGTCCACGGGAGGGGAGGGGGGGGGGGGGGGGGAAACCCCGCCAGGTTCTGGCCCTTTTATTCCCGCAAACCCCCCCCCCCCCCCCCCAAAGGGACTTGGCAATTCTTTTTTTGTAAAGAACCCGCAGTCGTCTCAGCATGAATTGGTATTCACATGTCGTTTTGACATTTGAAACGCAATGAATGCAAACATGTACATTGGCTGGACGACTCTTCCTTTTTTTTTTCTTTCGTAGGGCCGTGCGCGACATGCGCGCGCGTGTTCGCCTGTGTTCGCAGCTCGTACAATAGTGATGCGTTATCCCGTGCATCGTCCCCACCATCCCCCGTCCTTGGCTCGCTGTCGTTTAGATTAATCTGAGCCTCATTCCGGGGGGGCAAGCAGGGGGGTGACAATGTCCCACGCCGCCTCTATGATCTATAACGCGCGTGGAGGTCCGGTGCACGCTGCGCTCCGTGCCTCTACCGGAGCAAGCAAACCGACCGGGGCAGGACAAGTCTGGCATTATGTCTGGCACATGTGCACGTATGCACATATGCACACATGCACTCTCACACACACACACACACACACACACACACACACACACACACACACACACACACACACACTTTTGTCCTGCTCACCCCCCCCCCCCCCCCTCCACTCCTTTCTTTTTGAGGATTAAGCAAACCCATTGCAGATAAATGATTGCAATAAAGGATTCATGTTTCCTGCATTTAGTTGCACATTTTTGTTGTATTTTGTTATGTAATTCACCAATTAGCGGTTATCGCTATTTAACTTTTCTGCGTCAGTCTTTACGAAATATACGTTGACATCAGTCATCTTCGCTTCTGAAATGTCACAGATTAGAGATCTGGTAGCTTCAAGGCAATGCTCGAGTCATAGACAGGATGTATTAATATAACTTGGTCCTAACCCTTATAAACTCAACGTAGCGTGGGTTGCCTAGCAACGCCGCGTCAACCTGCTTCTTTTCCACAACACAAAACGTAACGTTACACGCCGGCTCATTTCTGGACGGATTTTCGTGTCAATCGCGCATTTCGGAGCGGTTCTTTAGCTCGCAGTAAGTCCCCCGTGTGTATCTGAGGAGTGAATCGTTAATATTCGTCTGCTTGGTTTTAACCATTTTGTGAACACTGCTAGCTTTGCTGAGATAAACCACCTATAGGTTAGCTTGTCCTTTAGCCAGCATATATATACTACTGCATGTCGTAGGGTTGATTGCATTGATCAGAACGATTATCTGTGATTAATAAACTTAGAATAAAGGTTGTTGAGCTCTCTACGTCACAGAATGGGAAAGAAAGGGAAGAAGGGGAGCGAAACTCCATGCGCGGAAACGGTGAGAGTAAAACCAAAGCACACTTTTCCATGTCCATTAAAAATATAAGCGTCTGAAAGGATACACAAGACATCCGATCAATCACAAGTAAGTGTTTAAATGTCCCCTCTCTTTCCTTACACGCCCCCGCAGTTTGAGCCGCTTCCCTTTGAGGGCAAAACTCCAGCAACAATAGTGCTGCTGCTCAGATCTCTAGAGGAGGACATCCTCGCCAAAGCTTGTGAAGCAATCCACATATTTGCAGAAAAAGGTGCAGTAGGCTACCCGATTTTTTTTTGGTCAGCAACCATGCAGCGAAAACCACGAAATGTGCTCGTTGCTAACCACTGTCTAATCTTATTTCTTGCTAATGTCCTATGATACCTACACCATCAATCTCATTCTATTCCATGCTCGTAAGCAGCTTGTATATTAAATATTTTATACACCAAGAATCAAAATAAAATTAATACGAGTAGTATAATTATTTGCATATTACTATAATGAACTGTTATTCTTTTATCTCCCCTGCTTCATTGACACATAGTAAGTGACAGGCCTCAGGTCTCTCACAGCCTCATTTCCCTGCTCATGGTCTCCCCCTGTTGTTAGGAGACGAGAACAAGGTTTCTCTGGTGGGACTGGGGGCACTGGAGCCCCTCTGTCAGCTTATCACTCACATGAACCGGCTGGTCAGACGCAACGCCTTCATGGCCTTGAGCATCATGGCCAGCAATGGTGCGTCAGACAACATACAAAATCAATGCAGAACAACACGCACTTGTCAGATGATTGAGTGTATTGAGATTTCTACAATTCACTGTTTTCGTTGACTGGTGGATTTGCTCTCTGAATGTGTTATTCGGTTATTAACTTTGTTTTATATCTCCATTTCAAGACGTAGTAAGGGTTGCTCTGAAAAAAATAGATGTTATTCCATCAATCATTGACAAACTGTCACCTGAAGGTGAGTAATTTGAATCTCAAGTTGAATAGACTGATAGATAACTAGATGTAAGAAGGAGATTAAAAAAACAAATGCCATTTTCTTTCCTATTTAAGAAGATATAGTTGTCCATGAGTTTGCAACACTGTGCCTGGCCTCTCTGTCAGTGGATTTCGTGTGCAAGGCCCAGATCTTTGACCACAAGGGCCTGCCACCTCTGATCCGGCTCCTGTCCAGTCCAGACCCCGATGTCATGAAGAACTCTCTAGAGACCATCTTCCATCTGGTTCAGGTGACTCAAGCTCCTCCGCCTAGAGGAGGTTCAAAGGCTATGCGGTTTTTATTTTTTATTTCAGACAATTCTAAGTATCCCAAAAACAAGTGAAAGCATCACTGTGTGTTTTGAAAATGAATTAATCTCGGGGATGTGTGAAATTCAAATGTTTAAATAATTTCGTTTTTTTCCCTTTTGTATCGTGTCGTGTAATGCAATCGTGTAGGACTACCAAAGTCGCCTGGCGGTGCATGAGTTGGGAGGGATCCCTCCACTTCTGGATCTGTTGAAGTCAGACTTCCCCGTTATTCAGCACGTGGCTTTAAAGACACTGCAGAATGTCACCGTTGATAAAGAATCATCCAACACCTTGAGGGAAGAGCAAGGATTTGAGAAGCTCATGGATATCCTCAGTAATACGGTGTGTGTGTGTGTGTGTGTGTGTGTGTGTTTGTGTGTCTGAGGGAGAGAAAACACACGCTTTTGTGCCTAGATGCCTTTGTATGTCGTCATCCTGCATGAACACTCATTCTTTACTCCTAATCCCTTTCTCTATCCCCATCGAGGTCTGTGTGCTCCCCGTCCTCTGTCTCCAACGTCTTTTCATTTCTTACAGAAATTCAACGACCTTCATGCTGAGGCCTTACCGGTAGTTCTTAACTGTATAAACGACAGTGAGAGTTTACAAGTGATCCACAGGGGTGGAGGGTTGATGAGGCTGATGGAGTTTGTTCTCACCCGAAATATGCCTGAAATCCAGTCCAACGCTGTCAGATGCATCACCAGGGCTGCTCAGAGCTGTAAGCACAGAAAGAGACAGCTGTACGTTCCAGTCTACAGGTTTCGAAGTAATCACGGTGCAACAGTTAATCTGTGTTTTCTCGCCGCTGTGTTTTTATTTTTAATGTGTGTGTGTGTGTGTTTGCATACACACGTGTAGCTGAGAATCGCAAGCTGCTCCACGAGCAGAATGTGGAGAAGGTCCTTGTTGAACTTCTGTCCGTGGGGGACGTCAGCGTCAACACGGCGGCCTGCGGGGCTGTGTTCGCCATGAGCTTCCACCTAGCCAGCAAGGACAGCTTCAGAGACCTCTGTGATACGTACGTGCACATTCACATGAGCACCCACACACCAGTACACTCACAACAAGGGGAAGGGGGGTGACTGAGTTGGATTCATGTGCTCCAGGTGGTATCCCTGAAGTGGTACGGTTGCTGAGCAATGACAGTTTGGCTCTCAGAGAGGCAGCGACCGAGGCCCTCTCTAACCCTCACGCATGGCAACCAGCTCAACGCATTGTGAGTGATAGACGACATGTGACACAATGCAAATATGTCCAATTCAGTAAAGCATCAAGTTGTATGCTTTGTTATGGGGTCTACCGTCTGCTATATAAGATTAACAGTAAATCTCACATCCATTTTTGTTGCATCTGCAGTGCGGTGTACGAGGCAGGAGGCGGTGAGATTCTTGTCCAGCAGCTGTATGGAAGCTGTCCCAGTACGGTGGCCAATTCCGCTGCAACACTTGGCAACATGGCGGGACAGGAGGTCGTCCGCTGCAGTGTCTTATCCCACGGAGCGATACGAGCTCTGGTGGAGAACTTGAAGTCCACGGATACACAGGTCCTGGTCAACGCCACGCGGTGCGTTGCAGTATTGGCCCACGAGAAAGAAGCTCGGGCAGAGGTTGGTGTCCAGTGAGGATTTAGATTCCTGCCGTCTTTTCATATTTGCGAATGACAATGACATTTGGAGATGTCCTGCGTGAAGGAAATATCAGTTAAAGGCACCGATACTGGTTTTATTGTTACTCTTTTTTTCTTGATCCACAGCAAAAATTTTAAAACTAAAAAACAAGGTTCATGAATTGTCAAAGAATAGTTGATATACTTTCCTGACCACCTAAAACTCCCTCCTTGTACAAAGCTACTTCGTGCAGGAGGCCTTCAGCCACTGGTCAATTTGCTGCGCACCGATCAAAAGGAAGTGCTCCACAATGCATGCTTGGCTATCAATGTGTGTTCCAGTGACCTGCCCGCCGCTGTGGAGATGTGCAAATTTGGGTAAGACACTGCAAAGAAAGATCATTATTACATGAAACATGACTGATGTCATGTAGAACTTTGAGGAGATATAAAGTACAGTGCTTTAGTATGAAGTTACAGCAGAGTAAAGGCACAATTTAGCCAATTTAGATGAGTTTCTTAAAAAGCCACTAGATGGCAACATGGGACAGTATACAGTTTGCGTGTGTGTGTTTCTTAGTGTGTGTGCATTTTTATATTTATCATCAATGTCTGTTTATGTGTGTCTCAGTGCCTTGGAAAGGCTTCAGCAAATCAACCAATCAGCAACTCGAGGAAGCAGTTTCAGCAGGTTGGCCAGGATCAGCCTGCTTAACTCCAATTTGTCTGTCAAATACAGCCTGACAGGTCATTTGGCCGTCACTGACCTCATTAGTGACGGCTTCTATGACGCCGGGAAGGTGTGTGTATGTATGTGTACCATTGAAATGGATGTGAAACAGAGGCCACTTAAAGGAATGTGAGGTTGTAAAACAACATGTCTTGCACATTACATCTTTTTTTTCCCATCCCTGTCTGTTAGCCCCCTGCAGGTCAGAGCATTCTGACTTTAAAGGAACTGTCCGAGCAGCCTGTCAACGAGCAACGGCCCATCATTGTTATCAACACTGCAAAAGCGTAGGTTGTTTTGTGGACTTTCTTTCATTCATTAAGTCTTGAAAAAATACAACTGAATATAATTTATTATGCATCAGATTCCAATCCTGTAACTGAAAGTTTCGACAACGGAGAGAGATGATTAAAATGTATCTAGAAACTCCCCCAAACAGCTAACCGGACGTCTTACACAACAAGTATTACAGAGTGGGAAACTAACAAGGACAACCACACCAGCCACACCATGTAGTCGGTACAATTTATTCTGGCTCTTAGATTACTATCACCCTCCCCTTGTTGCCTCCAATCCATTGGTCCACCCCCCCTCACCCTCACCCTCAGACATAACCCCCGTCCTCTCTCCCTTGCCTACAGTGTGCCCTGTTAGTGTGGCCTCTCAGGGTAAACAACCCCATTTTTTAAGATGCCAACACACCCAGAGTAAAAGATCCTTTGTGTTTAGACTAATGGACTTACGCGCACATAATACACATGTAACCTGAGTGCGACACACACTGACACACAAACAATAAGGAATACTATACATATTAAAACATGTAAATGCACACACACACACACACACACACACACACACACACACACACACACACACACACACACACACACACACACACACTAATGCTCCCAAAAGCTGCCAGCATTTGGAGGAATTAACTTCTCCAAAGGGAGCAGTTCCCCCTGAGGGTACCTCCGGTCCACCCCGTTACCACCATGTGCCCCCGTGCCCCCTTCAGCATGCATGCACCCACAACATCTCAGGAATTCTTAAGCAGAGTGTTATGTAATCCATGGCTAAGTGTGACCAATGCTTAATTTTGTAACTTTAAAGTAACTTAAAATAATGTAAGATGTTGTGTTTTTCCTCCATCTCCTGATCAAACAATGTGAATTGTACAACTTATAATTACGCCGGAGTTCTTTGCATGTTATTTCTGGACATGATAGTTTAGACTTTAAGACACAATGGTAAAGCAGTTCTGTCGGTTTTGCAGTCATTTAGTCAAGATAGTTTTGGCTATCATTTTCAGATAGCCGAGGAATACGTTCTTGTTTGTACGCTAAGATGTGCAGAAACTAACTTTAAGAGACAAAATCTCTCTGACAAATATACAGTACATTATACAAACATAGTAATAATTAAAGAATTACTAGAGGAATAGTGAAAAAATAGAATACCAGTGCTTTGTTCAGTTTATAAAGTGTTTTTTATCATTATCCTTTTGTTGCAGAGTGACTCTGGATGTCAGAGAAGTGAGGAACAGCAACCAATCAGAACCAGACACCTGCAGCAAGGGAGGCAGCAGAACAACACGGTGAGCGAGTCTGTGTGTGAGGGGTTGGGATCTTTCTCAAATACTCACGGACCTTACCTTGGTACTGGGTGGACCAGGACGAAGAATGGCCGATAATGATTCTGGAAACACAAGTAAACCTGGGAACTTCAAAGAAATTAAACAGATAAAGCATAAAACATTGTGTCCAAGAACAGCAAACTTTCACTGTGGTTGCAACAACAAACTGTGAACAAAGTTCAAACCGGGCTACTGCAGTGGGATGTGCATGGCGGAAGGCAGTTGTGGGTAGTTAGTGGATTTGATACGTACGGGTCCTAGTACCCACACGACCATATCTAGTGTGCCAGAACAACATTTAGGATGTCTCAATACATAGTCAAATGCAGTATGCCAAAAGTACCACGTTGTCCCACTGCATTGGGTCGAATTTTGCAGAATGCCACCCAGCGTGCTTTAGTGGGTATCCTGACCCACAATATATCAATCAAATATGCAATTTAGAACACAGGTGTGTCAAAAAGGCTCCAAAAAATGTTCTGAGATGAAACAAGGAAACGTGTTAATAGAAAATACCTCGAGAGAAATAACTCATAACCACATTTAATCGCGTAAGATACTGTTATGCTTTATTGTGTGGTCAAATAGACCAATTTACCTTCAACACAGGAAGAAGAAGGAGGACAACAAACAGAAAGAAGAGGACCAGACTGAGACTCCTAAAGGCAAACCATGGAAGATGATGGATGACGTCTTTTTGCAGGTTCTCCTTAAAGAGGCCAAAGAATCCATTATCCCACTAAGTGATGAACGAGAGCAGTGTGCTGCCTTGGCCAGGTAACGGGTTCATGCAGAAGCTTATAATCTCATATTGTATGATACCATACCAATAAAGTGTGCACAAACAAATGAAGATGACATTTAACAGCATTTTAGAAATATACCATAGTTTGCTTTGAGAATGCTAAATCAATGCACGATACATTTTTAAGGCCCGTGCTTTTTAATTGTTTTTGTGTGCATGTTTTTGGATGCCAGGCTGGTGAGTGAGGCCATGGGCGGAGCTGTGGAGATGGAGAAGTTGCACGAAGTCCCGTGGCTGCTGCACCTCAGCGAGCTCAAGTTTCTGCTCCAGTCTAATGTCGTTCCCATTGGCTTGATCAACAGAGGAATCTACTGCCACAGGGCCCTTCTCTTCAAGGTACCACTGACTTAGCTAACCCGCCTCCCCCGCGCCCCCCTAACCCTCATCCATCCCATCCTTTGCCGACTTTACATCTCATCTATCTTTTAACATACTTTTCTCAAGCTCCTCTCAATAAGTTTTCCCCATGCTTCACTTAACGTACCCCCGTTTGAACCCTCCTTCCTTCTGTCCATCTCTTGTTTCCAAATCGTAATATCCCAAACTGTCTCCTCCCTCTGGCTTCTCAGTGTCTGGCTGATCGCATCGGAATGAGCTGCACACTTGTCAGGGGCGAGTACAACCGGGCTTGGAATGAGGTGCTCCTCTTCAATGGGAATCCCTCCAGGAATCAGCACTCTTCAAAGCCCTGCCGCTACATAGTGGACCTCATGCACCAGCCTGGGAGCCTGCTGAAGCCAGCACCCCTGCTGCTCTGCATACCAGACTTCAGGAGGGACTACGCCCTTGGAATAAATGTAGAAATACACCATGCTGTGACCAGACAATTTTACAGAGACTCATCTAGGATTATTTAAAGATCTGTATTCCCTGATGGATCCTTGGCTTGCTTCAAATTGTGTGTGGATTACTATTAAGCATACATCCATACGCATACAAAAAACTTTTTTTGTCTTCCTCTCAATGAAACACACCAACGTTGACCTGGTTCTACAATGTTGTAACTGCAGAGTAGAGAACAGTGTGGAATAATTGAATCTGACCTGTGAAGGAAAATGTTTTGTTTCTGTCAGGAGACAAAGCGCCTGTGGAATCAGCACTGAATAAAGTTCCTTGAATACATCTTGACTTTGTTTTTATTTACCACTATACTTTGTTTGGAATGATCTCACTGATCGACACAATATTAGGTAAATTTGTGCAGTATGCATTGTGTTCCGAGGGACATTCTTTGATTTGCGACATTGATCCGAATAGAAATTGACCACTTTCCCCCTTATTCAGCTTTTCTTTCTCCCCAAGCCGTAAAAACTGCTACCCAATTACTTTTGCCCTTTGCGCAAAAAGCCAGCGGCAGCGAGGCTTAAAACCGGCGCACCAAAGCCAGCCAGCGGGCTCGATCAGCCGGGGGGAACCTGCGTGAACTCGCCGCGGCGCAGAGCGCGCGCTCGGCTCTGGCGCTGATAGCGGCGCGCGTCTCTATAGGCGCACTCGCCTCGGCAGCAGCGGACATGTCTGGTTTGGTCTCCCGGCTCGCACTGGTTCCTCGGCACGCAGCGGCCAGAGCCGCGCGGCTACCGAGCAGGATCCCGGTATTCATTCGTACTGTGGCCACCACAACTCGAGGTACTGGTTATCTTTTACTTAATCCTGTCTGGTAATTTAAGAAGAGCTGCAAACCCCCCCCCTCCGACACCCCCATTCCGCAGGTGCGCCATGCTGCAGGGAACATCAGGTGCACAGGCTCGTGTGCAGAGGGTCCCGCGTGGGTAACGAGAGGCGCGGGTTTGCAGGGGTTAATAATAATATATCAGGGACTGGATGGGATTTGTTTCTTCCGATATTTATTCTATGTTTCATTTATTCTAAAAGTTAACATTGGGTTCAATTATAGGACACATATGTTTAGAAATGTTACTCCTTTCAGCTTTGAGCAGTGGATTAATTACAGTATGTACTAAGAAAAAATGAATCGAATTTTGCTGTAGTTTTAAGGGTATGTGGAATAATGTTGCAGAAAGTAGTTGTTTTTCTGTTTGATTTCTTCACGTTTGAATTGGTTTATTCACGTGTACTTGGAGTTTATTTGATTGACCAGGATGACCTTCAACTAGTTCAATGTGCAATTAAAAACCCCTGCTCTTCTCCCTTGTTACCTCTGCTCCCTGCAGGCCTGCAGTCTCTCACCCGATATAATAAGACTACAGATTGGCAAAAGAAACTGACCCCAGAACAGTATGTAGTGACCAGAGAGAGAGGGACTGAAGTGGTGAGTATACCGAGACATCAGTACACAGTACGCGAAGCAACACTGCATTCATCCATAGCTAACTGACTTTCTGATATACATCGGCTCAGTTCTAGGTGGACTCTGCTCTTGTGTCGGGTTCAACCTGCTCACTTACAAACCTGGTATTTTATGAATTGGAAGCTCTCAACTTGAAACACAGGGGATGTGCTAATACAAATAAGGAAGTCTTTATCTTCAGAGACTTTAAGGAGAAGAACATTTAACTGTTATTCATCAAGACTGTGTGTGTGTGTGTGTTTTTCAGCCCTTTAGTGGGATCTACCTTAACCATTCTGAAGTTGGGATGTACCACTGTGTTTGCTGTGAGGCTCCACTTTTTAGGTAACACTTTGGACCTTAGAGTTAATGTGGGAAAATGTGATCACAAGTACATATTTTCTATTGATGACACATTTGTAACTGTTTGATGTACGTCTATGCACCGTCAGGGTTGCTATTTAATTTCATTCTACTATGTGCAATGACAACAAAGACATTATTGCGTGATTTTTTTTAAATTTATTTCGACAGCCGTGAGAGAATTTTGGTGTTAAAGGTGTATGCTGTATTATATAGCAATCTGATAGCAGATGCTCAGTGACTAAATGATCCTTCCTGTATTTAAAGTTCAGAGGCAAAGTACGACTCGGGCACCGGCTGGCCTGCTTTCAAAGAAGCTCACGGGACATGGGAGCGGGATGAAAGCCACGCCTCCATCATTCGTCGCCCTGACAACAGCCTGGGTAGCGCTGGGACAGAGGTTCTTTGTAAAAATGTGAGCTTTGTTTTCTGAGAGCCGGTTCAGCTTTCTTAGAATATCCGATAGCTTTGCGTGAAGCTGGAAAACAAAATGATGATAGTATAGTTTGAATTATTTAGAGTGTGTGTCATTTAATGCTTTGCATTCAGAGTTTCTATCACAATATTCTTCAAATACCAAACATTGTTTGTATTGTTGGTTAGTGTGTGACTCTCATGTTCTGTTGCAGTGTGATTCCCACCTGGGTCATGTGTTTGATGACGGACCGGACCCGACCGGTCAGCGGTTCTGTATCAACAGCGTGGCCCTCGCGTTTAAACCCAGAGAAAACAACACACCTGACACTGAGGAGCAGGAGAAACACCGGAACTGAAAAGAGAAATACACGTTTCATTTTGAAGTCCTTCCTAAAGTCCAAATGAAGGGTCGTCTGAAGCGCATTCAATGGTTTGGACCTGGACAAATAAGAACAGTCTCCTGTTAAGTAAACGTTGATGTATGCGCTGGAGGAAGGTCTACATACAGAACATGCTTTACATTATTGACACAAACTCAAACTGCAGACCATCAGCTCCTTCAATTGTGATACTTTCCCCTAAAAAGTAAAAAGTAAAAAGTTTTGTTGATTATATGTGATTTGGTTTGTGAGTAAATTTATGAATGTCTTAATGTCAGATTCACAAATGGCCTTTTGCAAAGTATTTTTGCGCACGCACAATGATTTTAACTTACAAGGGCTTAGAAATGAAAATCTGTTAATGTATGTATGAAAAATGAATAAAGAAAAAAAATATAAAAGAATGCGTTAAAAGATGAATGTTATTAGGTGTCTGTTAAATTGTAGTTAAGTTAGGGGTCAGGGGTGTGCAAAGTATTGTCCTAGGAATTAAAGAGTCAGTAGATCAGCTAGAGGTTCTGGTTTAGATTTATTTTTTACAGGTGAGAGGTTTCGGCCATTATCTCACCTGCCTGCCTCAGAGTCACGGCTAATGACCTGGAATGTGAAGAACTGCGCCGTGTTGACTAGTCACATGGTGTAATGGGGCCGAGAGGGGGGGCTGCACTCGGCCTCGGACTTTTGAACCTCTCGTCTCTGTAGGCGGGAGTACGGGGTTTTCCACGAGTGGGTCTTTGAGAGTTTTTGAGGTGGACACAGCTCGGGCATAATTTATGGGGGGGGGGGGGGCCAGGCGCCCTTCCACTTTAGTGTTTTAGAGGGGCCAAACACACGGGGGCGGGGAAGGGTTGTTTAGCAGAACCCCCTCCCTCACCCAAATAAACCCGGGCGGGATTTTTATAACCGAGGGGATTCCCAGAAAAGGGGCCCCTTTATTAGCCCCCCCCCCCCCCCCCCCCCCCTCCGGTTGGGCTGTAATGTTGATTTAAAGTGTTCTCTCTGGTAGAGCTTTGAGATTACCGAGGACAATAACTGAAGAGTCCCACCTCGTCTGGTCGGCTGCCTTTGCCTCCTACACGTTGGCCTGCAGTGGAATAAAAAGGGCGCGAATGAACTGGAAACAAATGGGGAGTAGATGTAGAACCGTGCCGCATAAGTGCTGGCGCGTCTCTACCTTTCGATTGGCCGAAGAGCTTCGGGTCACAATCGGTTCTGAACAGCTGCGAGTCTGTCAGCTCGGCCATGGAGTCCCTTATAACACACACCCAAGTCTCTGTGAAACACGAAACGGAGGGTGAAGGAAAGGCTCGGTTGTTCCGCCACGTACCCCATATGTCAAATATGTCAAAATACGCTGGGCTTGAATTAATAAAACATCTCTGTCCAAAGAGATTGCGAAACCCAGTTATGACGTTGGTGTTTTTCAGTCTAAGGCCTCATACACAGATTAAGTTACGTTATTATCTGTATGAGGAATCATGTATTCTTGGATAAAAAATTGACAATATGTGGATATTTAGTCTATTCTAAGAATATATGGTTAAACCGCAGAGGTCCTTAGATTTTATGGTCCGTATTTAATAAGAATCTAGATGAACACACTGCAGCACTGCCTCATCTCTGCCAGTAAAAGTTAATGTTTGCCCAAACTGACCATCCTCTCTTTCACACTGTTTGTCCCCCACTTTCTGTCTGTTTATGCATCTCTCCTGCGTCTGTTGGAGTTAAACAGATTCGGAACACTTGACTGTGGACAGAGGCGGAGGGGACAGAAATGCCAATACAAAATAGGAAAGAAAAGTTATAATACAGGAACCTGAGAAGTCTTGTAGGAGAAGAGGACCGATTGTTGTGCTAGGATGGCTGGATTACTGCGTTGTGTGTTGCTAGTGGTGGTGTTCATGTGTGTGTGTCTGTGGGGTTCCACCGACGGTGTGGGGGGGGCTAAGAGTCGACCGCGACCCCAAAGACGACCTCCCAAGAAGCCGAAGGTTGACCCTATTGCGTTGACCCCACCTGCACAGAACGTAGACATACAACAGGTAAAAAACAGGAGGAAGGGTTAGTAAATATACATTCATTGTTGTGTGTTTTATTTGTATCTTTGTACCTTTTCATGGTTGTGCATGTCTAAATCAAGCCAAGGAACAAGGTAGAGAATCTATACTGCCTAATGGTTTGAAAAACAGCGATCAGTTACAAGTTTATTGACGAAAAGGCTAAAAAAAGATTCTAGAAAAAGCTGCACTGAAAGGTGAGAATGTCTTTTTTGTGTGCGTTGGCGAGCAGCCGCAGCCTGATAGAAAAACTGTCCACCGCGTGACCTTTGCACACTGGCACTTTTATCACCATGTCGCAATAACGCAAACACCAACAACATTTGCCGAGTCATCAGTGCAAACAGAATTAACGAAATAGTAAAAATATAAACTATTGTTACTTTGAGGACAACATATGATGAGTGAGCTTTAGCGCTTGTATCTCTCCAGAGACTCAAACATGCAACATGGTTATTGATGCAGCGGCCACACTTGTGTAACTGTGTCAATATGGTGGTTTAGGCAATAAGGGGGATTTGAGTGACAAAACGAGAGATCGTCAGGGTTCCGAAGGGAACCCAAAAGCAGACCGGAACCAAAACGATAGGGACAAAAAAGTATTTATTGAGGACTAGAGTGAGGAGGCCGGCTGGTCGAGACAGGAGGGTGGTGGCGAGACGATACCACATGCAGTGAGACCGCGTTGTGGGGGGGGGGGGGGGGGGGGGGTTACTTGAGGTGGTAATCCGGCGGGGACTGGATGTCCGGTCCTCGTCTTTATCCTGTAGATGATTACGCTCAGGAGCAGGTGTGTTGGCCCATGCCGCTGCGGGGGGGTTCACCAAACAATAATTTGTTTAGGTTTACAGTCGGTGTAGTGCTTTTGCCTCGGCCTCTGTTCTGATCCTGCTGCCATGTGGTGCAGATGACAGGAAAATGGTACCTGCTGAACACCGCCTCCAAGTGCTCCTACCTGATGAACCACGGAACCAGGGTGGAGCCCACCGTTATGAACCTCACGCCTTCCTCCGACCGAGCGCTGTCAGTCAGCACCAAGACACGACAGTAAGTAGCAGCATCTACAGCTCACTTTCAGTACCTCGGGTTATCAACAGGGGGGGGAAACATACCACCAATGTCTCTACTTTCTCCATTCCAACCACATGTGTCAAATTAGATGTGTGTATCCTCAAAAACAGGAAGGAGCCCGGACAGTAAAATCCATCGGCTTTCGCTTATCATCTGGAGAAATGTTTGGGTCATCCTGACATGGCATTTGCAGAAAGACAGAATGTACCATTCACATTCTCGAATATAATTAGTGGGTCTTGTTTTTGTAGATATCTTCATGGCCCACGCATACGAAATTCATGTTGTACTTTTCCTTTTTGTCATGATGCCTGAGGCTGAGAAAATGTGTTTAGGTTATGATTCATGTTGTTGTGAAATATCAAATTGGTTGCTTCAATGCCAGTTTTTTTTTGCTTTCTAATGTAATAGCTCCCCTAATCTATTCTGTCCCCAGTAATAACCAGTGTTGGGAGATATTACAGGTCTACAATGAAACACCGACCCCGGGAAAGCTAAAACTTAAAGGTCGGCACCTCCCCCTTTTAACCCTTGATGATAAATCATAGAACGAGCAGCATCCGTTTGGCATTGAATGCTCTCTGTCTTCCCCATAGGAGCTCGCGCTGAGCTAGACACGGACGTGGCCGTCATAGAGACGGACTACCACTCGCACGCGATCATGTACTACCAGAAACGGGGCCAGATCACCATGAAGCTCTACGGTGGGTTCCTCAGCATCGTGGCCCCCGTTTGGTTGGTCGGATGTAAAAACCTGGTGGTAGTCGTGGCGATATTCTAACTCCAGAATGAGACGGCACTGTGTGTTTAGAGGTGTATTAGTGACTGTTTTCGTGCTCTGCCTGCAGGCCGGTCTGTAGACAATCTGTCCGAGCCTATGCTGACTAAGTTTGAGCAACTGGCTGAAAAACAGGGTTTGGGACTGGCATACCTCTTCCCCTTCCCCACCTATAGTAAGTCTGTGTCCACCTGAACAATCAATGACACTATATTCACAAATGCAGTGTTAAATGTACGATGGCCTAAAAAAAGCAAATTGATTTCCATTGCAGTAATGACTGACGTAAAGTATTATGATGCAGCAATACACCTGACTGCTCAGCTGCCTTTAAATAGATCTGTGGAATTGTTTTCTTCACAGGTCACTGTGGTGATGTGGACAAGAACCATGTGATCAGTGAGTTTAATCTGTAACCAAATAATAGATGGAATCCTTCGATATAATGAAAAAGTATTTATACAGCCTTTTCCATTCAAAGGTTTCTTTGTAAACTGTTGGAAGCATCAAATGATTTCTTGTTATTAACTGTCAATATAGCTGTCAGGCTCACTGCATAGTATGTGGGTCATTGTACACGGCTGTGATCCATAGTGCTCCACACGATCTCACGCATCTAAACCTGGTTATTCATCATTTCACCTCCACATCTGCTCTTCTGCTGAATAACAAAACATGCATCCTCCTGCTCAGTTTCTGTGAAATATGTGTGGTATGTTGGAATTATTTTCATGGTAAAATGAGGTGTCTAATAAGTAGAGTGTAGTAAGTGTATGCACCAATTCCAATGACAGAGATTACAGTACATTTATTTAAATTTCTTAATGAATCAATAAGAAATATGCAGCTGTTGATAAGCTATATTGTGACTAGACTGTTAGAGTGCTTTATTATTGATGTAACATACACAGAGGTAAATAATACTGTTGAAGGGACAGAGAGACAGAGAGAGACAGAGAGATATTCGAATAGCAGCTTAAATTAAGCCGATGACCTACGGAGACCTTCCAAAACAAAGATTCGCTAAAAGCAGGCTGTGCTTGGTTCAGTTTCTTGTAACTCTGTAAACAACCTGATTAAAACCGCTGAACAGCCACTGTGTAATTTAACCCGCCACTCTTTGTTATGTAGACTGTGTCCCCACATGCTGAGGAGGCAGAGCGGTCCAACAGACGGATCCAGTCCTGCAGTGTTCCAAAGTTCACATGCAAGAGGAGGATTGTATCATTTAAAAATGTGAACGTCGGCTAAAAAAGAAAGTGGAGAATGCAGCACATGTTGAAACAAAAAATGTTACCAGCTGCAGCTGGATAAAACAAAATGTAGCACAAAATAACGTCTTTTCGTCAAATGTTTTTACTTAAAGCGAAACCCAACGAGGCTTATCTGATCTACACCAGCAGCCTCCCCTATTTTTGTTGTGGAGATTTTATTTACAGAGTGTGGGCCTGTGTGCATTGAGGGTGGAGGGGGGCGGGCTAATGTAGCCCAGATGTGGAGGCCAAAAGGGGTTGAGAGAGTTTGGTTACAAAACAAGGTTACCAAATGGGCTCCCGTGTGTTACATATCCAGCTGATTGCATGTCTGTGCTTGTCTTGTTGCCCAAAACGTGAAGAGGAAGCATTCAAATACAGTGGGAAAATTATGTTTAAACAATGTATATTCATCAAATTTGCTATGAACAGCGATGCGATCCAGCAGGTAGGATTTATCACAGAAAGATGTTTATGCAACGGTTCATTGCACTGGGATGAAACTATGAACACACTGCAAAGATTAATCACACCACCATAAGCAACCGAGCTTTGTATATTAAATTGTTAAGATATTTCCACTTTCAATCATTGCCTCTGTTTTTTTTAATAAAGGCATGCCGAGCATTTGTGATGGAGGAGGGAGAAAGGGGGAGCCGTTAAAAGAACCTTATTATTCACCCACTCTCCCCTTTTCTTCCCCTCTCACCTCTCCTCCCCCTCTTCCGCGCACATGTGCCGGTTGTGTAACGGCAGTGATTTGCATTGTTTTTGTAATCCAAAAGCTCGCAGTAGGACGGGGGGGGAGGAGACGGAAAGAGGAGGAGGCGATGGGGAGCAGGACCACGGGCATAAAAGGAGCCTCCGCTTCCCCTCCGCTCCTCACCTCTCGTTGATACTTCGCTGGCCGCTGCACAAGGACAGAACACAAAGAAGAAGCCATGAGGAACACGCTGCTGAGGATGCTGGCCGCCCTGATGTGTGTGATGGGGGCCTGCGCCCAAGTCTCGCCTGTGGAGGACTTTGACCTGGATAAGGTAGGAAACGGGCACAATTGCTACTACGTCAAGATTATTGCAAGTCAAATCAGCCGTAAATAGCTGCAACATTCACTGGGGGAAAGGTAAGGAACGGGGTTTGAGTATCTGTGATTGCTTAAAGTGTTTCCTGGAGTCCCTTAATGGAGCAGGACAGAGAGGTGTTGCATAACACACTATGCTTGGATGGAGCAACGTTTATCGGCCTTCATTACCCCCCCCCATCTGTTTTTCTCTTTCCTTTAGATGGCAGGCAAGTGGTTTATTGTTGGCTTTGCCAGTAATGCCCAGTGGTTTGTGAACCACAAGGCCGAGATGAAGATGGGCACCGCTATGGTGGTGCCAACCGCAGGGGACCTGAACCTCTCCTATGCCAACCTGAAGTCAGTGTTTGTACAACCGTAACCTTTTCGAAATGAAACTGTCGAAGACACGTGCAATTAAATGGACCCCCCCCCCCCCCCCTTTTTAATTCAGAGCCGACGGTACTGCTGGAGAATGACTCACCTGGCAAACAAAACCGACACCCCCGGGCGCTTCACCTTCCACAGCCAGAGTGAGTGGAGCGCACGCCATCATGCACCGGAGACACCCACACAAGAAGCATTCAGCGGCGTGACCGCTCTGTTTTCTCCTCTCATCAGTTTGGAACAACGACAACGACATGCGGGTGGTCGACGTCGTGTACGACGACTACGCTCTGGTGCACACCATCAAGACGAAAGAAGAGGCGGTCGAGGTCCTCGACAAGCTTTACAGTGAGTCCGGGCGGGCCACACCGCGGCAGTGGGCGGGGCCTCCCCGAGGAGGGGAAGTTTAAAACAACTCTTTGTGTGTTTGAAGGTCGCACTCCTCAGGTCAGTGATGTCCTGCAGCAGAAGTTTACCCAGCTGTGCCTGGCCAACGGCATCCTCCCCGACAACATCGCCATCTTGCCTCAGAATGGTATGTGATTAATACACATGCAACGCGACCGACACTTTTGCACGAATGCATTTGAACCGTTTCTGAAAAAGCCTCCTGCTGCGTGTTTTTACAGGTGAGTGTGCCGAGGCCTGAAGAGCGCCCCTGCTGCGCCCACCCTTCGCCCACGGGAATCACATTGTTCCTGCTGGCTGTCATTTTTGCATCATCTCAAAGCTTCACTGGAGACAGTGAAACATCAGCATTTCACTTACCAAAGACCAATTCGGATCATAGCTCAGGCTTCGCTTCCTCGCCCTCGCATTAGCTGTGGCATCAGAGTGGCACTAACGAGAGCTCGTAGTGAAACAAAGGGAAGGAGAGAAACACCACAGACATATTTCGTGCTGTTTTGTGATTTGTTGATATCAACTCAAAATCAATAAAAACATCGAATCCATACTTTAGCGTTCGGTCTGATTCTTTTTTTGATAAATTCTAATCTGTGTGCTTCTAAAGTGAAATGAATCAATCAATGTAAATGACATCAAAGCACACGGTGTGAAATAATTACAAGGGTAGTTTGCGGCAAAAGTGTCTTGGTTCAACCATTTAAATTGATGCACTGAATATAATTATTCATGATGTACACGTCTGTTTGACCTACCAGTCTTGAGATTAACTTCACCCTGCCTGGCCGAAGACAACACGTGACAGAATAAGAAACGTGTGTGTGTGTGTGTGTGTGTGTGTTGATTTAACAATGCGTGAGATTACCAAACATCTCTATGGGGCTCTCAGTCCACAGGGGCACCTCAGTCATTACCGGACTCAGTTTAGGGTGATCAAGTTGCATTGTGGGTAATGTAGGCGCCACATACACATGCTTACCTTCTGCTCAGTTCCTGGTTGGACATTTGTATGCTTTTATGAGGCGTAATTTCTATTTTTCTTTTATAATATTTGTATGCATTCATACTAATTCCATAAAGCCGATCCAATTGGTCTTATTTTATAGAGTGATATAAAGTGTTATTTCTGTCTTCTCTCAATTCCTGCTGATTTGGTTGTGATCTGCTTCAAGTCGTCCCTCTTACAAGGATAACCAAAGTGTTGCCTTTCACCAAATGCAGTTTTTCTTAAATCACGCTGAAGGAAGCTGCACCACCCGACCACAAGGGAGCAGACTGATCACAGTCTGCTCTCCCTGTGTGGGACACACGGAGGGCAGACATGAAGTCTGTTCTATTGATTAGAATCTGTGTTTAGTTGCGATTCATTCTGACTCAGCGTTCTTCTTTCTCTCACTCCACCCTGCTTCATTACT